TTTTCTTGGCAATAAAAGAACAGGATGCCTCATATTCTTGTGTCTGCACATATAGTCTTTCAGACTTTCAGCACACAGAAGTTCTTCTGATACAGCCCAGCTTGTATCTCATAATGCTTCCAGCTCTTGTCTAGGCACTGAAAGAGATAGTGTTCTGAAAACTGATGCAGTTTTAAAGGTCAGATCCCATAAAACACTGTGATTCGTAGCCAATACTCTGCCTTCTGGAACTGCTTATTTAGTCTGGAGTTGCACTGTAGACTTTATCTTCATTTTCTCTGGGCTTCATCAAGTGTTTGCCACATGCAGTGACCAATAAAACCAGGGAAGATCTGAATTTTGCAAATGGCCTTCTGTAAGAGAGGCAGCAGGTATACATTGTTGTTTCTCAGATGCTGTGGAGCCATATGATGAGAAGGGTGTTGTCCTTCCCATTTTCTCAGTTTTTAGTTTGATCCAGCAGTATGGAAGACAGAGTTCTGGCTCTGTGTTGGAATAAGATTGTGTGATGCTCAGAAACAATAAGATACTTCTAGCATTATACTTGTCAAAGATACTTCTAGTCTGTCTTCCTGTTCATCTCTGTATTGATCCGAGCAGAGCCCCAGAGGCTGTAGCCACAGGACTGACATGTGGATCATCTTGAACCCTAATAATGTATAACATATACCCAGCTAAGTGGGAGGTTACAGTGACTAAGCAGGTCACCCCAGAATACCAGGAGCCATTTCAAGCATATCAGTATGGCAGGTCATTGTTAAATACGTGTTGTTGTTCTTCTGAATCTACCTTGGATTCTTATAACTGTAATACATAATGGAAAAGAAAGGCTCACCCTCAGTTGCTGGTAACTGATAGATTTTCATCGGCCTTGTGGCTGATAACAGCCTCCTACAGAATCTGGCTTTGAGCAGATGTCACAAATTCACTCTGGATGTCCCTTCAGCATACAGATAGCAATTGCCCTCCATCTGCCCTCCACAGGCATGGCTGTCCACAGCAGGCTGCTTTTTCCATTGGTACCCATAACAGAAATGGACTGTACTCATGCTGGAATATGCATATGGGGCTTTACTTGCTTTTAATTTTTTGTTACTAATTTCCAAACCTCCACCGAAGGCACTGGCTGTGAATACCTTGATTACAAAGAGTAATTAATTGATCAGATCTATTTTCTTTTTATTGTCCTGTGGACTGAGAGATAATGACATGCAATGTGGAGGATATTCCTGCTAGAGATAGTATTTCTGCAAATCCTGCAAAGCCTATCTGTGGAATACCACCTGATATTCAGTGAGCAGGCTGCCTGCTCTAGCATCTCCCACACCATGTGCATGCATATGTATTTTGTGTTCTGTATTTTATGGGGTGATCAAAACCAGTCTTTGGATAATGTTTTAATAACTTCTGTTTCTCATTGTTCTTACTAGCAGCCATAACATTTGCAATATCAATCTGTGACAGGAAGCAGGTGTCCTTTTTTAAAGGAAATCTGAAATAATTTAGAGGCCGCAGAAAAGGACAGCTTGCAATTCACATTGCTACAGTCTTGCAGAGAAAGCAGGCTACAAGACAGCTGCTGATTTATTTAAAAATCAGATGAACAAAAAACCGAGTCTTGTGGTTTTTCTCTTTCTCTCCTTTTCTTTGCAAACTTAAGGAATGTATTCAAGCATCTGGCTAATTCACATACCATTAATTCTCTAAAGATTACATATGCACACCTAATTAGACCTGCTTAATTTGTTTTAAAAATGAATGTATTCTCATATTTATATTTTATAACTGTGCCAAATTCTTAAAGGGCATAGAAGAGAGAATTTTGTAAGAGAAATGTGCAGAGTCCTTTCCCTAGAAAAGCTGGAAGTATCAGTAGAGCTGTATCTAATCCTAGTTATAAAACTGTAGACTTACTGTTTTGGCTATTAGTGAATGGGTAAATGACTTTTTAAATACATGAATGCATGCTTGTTAGAAAGTCTGAGATACAGCCTGTCTTCATGTGGGAGCTGGCAGAGTGGGCACCCATCCTGATGTGTGAGGTCCTGTTGTATTGCAGCAATATGACTAGCAGCGAGTTCCTGCCAGCTGTGGTTTCTTGAGGATTTAATAGTCTCAAACAGCTACAAGGACATGGCTCTCCAAAGGCTGAGAGCCTGATGCCAATGGCATATATCTCCTCTTACTCTAGTGTGGCTCTCCACCAGTTTAGCTATTGAGGCCAGTGCCACTTAGAATAATAATTTGGATCTTAGCAAGTGGCAGATTATCATAGCCTTCTTCAGAGGCTGTATGTGGGGCGGGAAAAGCTAATCTGTACCCTGACCCCCGTTCATCTCTCTGGTGCCTGGGTGCTAAAGGCACTCAGATCCTTGTCGGCAGTGACATTCTCGATTTATTCTCAGCAGCGAATTCCTGCAGAGCTGCTAACCAGCAGTAGAGAGGCTGGTTAGTAGCTGCATGTTTTGTGTCAGGCTTCGCTGGAGTAAAGTTGCCATGGAGATGGGTGGGAGTTTAACTGAGCAGGGAGCTCGGGGGTTTGCCCTGGTGTGTGTAAATCTGTCTGACATGTCATGTGGATCAGATTTGGCTCTGCTGCTCACATTTGAGGTCCACTTGATTTTTTTTTGCCCGATTCCCGTGTAGGAGAGCTGTATAACTGCCATGCAGTATTCATAGCACTGTGAGATTTAAAAAAGGCAGAACTGGGATTGGTTCCTACTCTTCCAGGGCCAGTTTAAAACTAAATCTGGACAGCAAAGGATGTTTAGAGCAGGCAGCTAAGCCCTGTAAGCTGGAAGGAACTTTCCCAGGCTGGAGTCTTTCTTGTGACAGCAGTAAGCATATTGGCTGTCTGAAAAAGAAAATTATATAGAGGCAGAAACTGAATTCCTACAGTTAGGGAGATGTTGGAAAGTGGAATCTTCCCAATTAATTTTAGAACTTGTAAAGCAGATTAAAACATGGGGGGAGAGTGCTGAATATAAATGCCTGCTTTACACTTACAAAGGCTATGCAGGCTTCATGTGCTCAGAAACATTTCTGGGAAAACATCAATTAAAATGCTTGAGACTGACAAAAGGCTTCAAGGCTGTTGAGGTAAATGGTGACTCATGCTGGCTGAGAAGCAGGAAGGAAAAACGTTTAATGGCAGTACCACCCCAAGCTGTACTCTGAAATGAGGCTTCCCAGGGGGTTGACCTGCAGACACTGGGAATTTAGGTAACATCTGCTGATCTACAGCCTTCAAAGGTGAAGAGCCAAAATATTTTTCAGTGACTTGGCAGCATGCCTGCTGGGTTTTTCAATGCATGTAGGTTTGCATGGTGTTACGGAGAGAAACTTAACATGTTTCTAATTTTAGAGTAAAAGGAAACAGCCAGGTGGTGAAAATATTTGGAAGGAAGGGTTAAAAAGTTGGAATCTTTGAAGGAGGGGGACAAAGAGGGAATAGGGCAAATGCAGAGATGGATCTTTGAACACCGCTTGGTTCAGTAGAAGCTAAGGAGTCCTCCTGAATGGACTGCCTGGACTGTGGCATCAGTTTAAGAGGGGAATATGGTTTCTGCTGTGTTTATCCTAGGGAAAGAGGACTGGTCCTTCCAGCATAAGCTAAAGCTTGTGCATCTCAAAGACTGGTGTGAGTCTGTTGTGTTACTGGAAAAAGGCTTCATCACACGCATCAAGAGCATCTTGTCCTCCTCCTCTAATCTCCTGTACCACTCTTAACAATTTAATCCTTAGCAGTTTGTCTTCATAGGCTGTAATTGATCTGTCTGTGATTTAGCTCATCAGACAGTCATTAAAGAGTTTGCAGCCTTTTTTATTCATGAAGAGTGAGACTCAAGGATCTAAAACCACTTTGTCTTTGTCCTAACTGGATTCATTTAGTATTCTGGGATTTGGGAAGGCTAATAAACTTAAATGAGCTATTATTTAAAGGTGAGCTGCCAAGTGAACATGAAGAATGATCCAAACTCTGGCAGTGTGCCAAGGGTTCTCTGTTGTCAGGTGTCAGGTGTGAGCAGCAGTGGGAATTGTTGCTAAAACCCCAGATACTCCTCACTGCTCTGCAGAGGGCGTCCCACAATGCCCTGTCCACGAGGGATGGGATAATACAGCTTTCAGAGGAGCTGCTGGAACTGTGTCTGCAGTGAAGTTGGCATTTTGTGCTAGTGATGTCAGTGGGATACACAGAAATATTTTGTGCATTGTATAGATCTTGATCTTGACATCTGGTTTTCTTTATTAGGGGCTGCTATTGTTCTGAGCAGTGGCCTGTGCTCTGGCAGCGCCCTTAAGGATGAGCATTTCTCACGTCTCTGGCACACACATGCTGAGGAAATGCCTGTCTCCGTCCTTGCGCAGGGATACATGGGCAATCTGCAAAGGAAAACAATACCCCGAGCTTCAGAAAGCAGTTTCCTTTCCCCGCTACTTTAATGAACACTTAAGACATTTCCAAGCTGTGGGAAGAGGAGATGGGATAGATGGTTCTCCATTATGCTCCTTCCTGAGCCTGGCTCTGCATGTTACACACTTCCAGAAAGATAAATAATTCCCTATAACTGTTGAATTTACCGTGTAGTCATATGTGTAGTATCATCAAATTGCTTGTGCCTTGGGTGTCACATAAGGGGCTATAACCACCATGGGCTCTTAAGTTGTCCGTGGTATTAAGGCAGCAGCTCAGCCAGGGAACGCGTGCAGCTGGATCCTGGGTCTGCGCCAAATGTACTGACTTTGTTTGGGACTGTGGGAAGCTGGTGGGGCCCAGCAGACAAAGCCCTGTGTGAGGGATCTGAATCCTGGCAGGACACGCTGCCATTTACGTGAACTGACTTCCCACTTGCTGTGCATATCTGGATTGGGAAATCTTTGGGAATATAAACCTTTCCTAACTGCTCCAAGTCACAGTATTTATAAATACTCTAAGCTTGTGTTTATAACTGTAAATCATCCTATGTAAATATTAATACCATATTTTTCTTTCTTTGTAGTGTACGGAGGCCAAAAAGCATTGCTGGTACTTTGAAGGATTATATCCTACATATTATATGTAAGTAGTCATTGCTTTTCTTTTTGAAAAGAGAATTAGATTCTGTAGGTTCTTAGACTGTTGCTCTTTTACAAATTTTACTTTTTTTATAACTCATCTTAGACTTTTGCAAATTCAAAAATGAAGATGCAGTAAGCTTTCATTTCCCTCCTTCCCTGTAACCCATCTCTTTCCCTTTTTCCTTATTAAAAAAAGTGTACAGATTCCTTTTGCCATGCACCGCAGATGACCTTTCCAACTGAAAACAAAACTCAAGTACTTGAACAGCTCTTATTTCAGATAACTGAAAGGGAACATAAGTAGACCAGTGTGAAGACAGTTCTCCCTTTGTTTTGAACAAGGACAGGTAATCAGACAGACTACCAAGAAGGCTTTGAAAGTAACTTTGTCCCTGTGCTAATACTGTTGTTTAATTTAGAGAGCTGAGATGATTTGTTATCCATGGCATAACAGTCTTTTTGATGAGTGACATCTACTTTCACATCAAGCTTGGGTATGAACCAAATGTCTATGACCTGTAGGTATATGACTGAGGATCTCTCTGATTTCAGTTTTCTGTTTCATATTGCCCATGGCAAGAACAAAAAAAGTGGAGGAAATATGTGGATGGGAGGTACATTCGATGTGGGTTTGAGGGTAGAATGGAGATAAATGTGGTGAACTTTGTACCTGGGTTGTATAACTTTATAATTGCAAACATTATAATTGCAACTGTAAACATTATGTTAGAAAAAAAAAAAGGTGGGATGGGAGAGCATTAGGTTATCTGTTCCCTGAGCAAGCTCTTTCTTGCTGAAGGATTGGAAATAACTGTAACCTTACGCTACCCAAGAACTTCCCTCCCTTTTGTTATCCACCTCCACTTCATCTGCCAGAAGCAGGAGAGAAATGCTAGAGACAAAAAGCAGACAGGAAGCCAGTTGCAAAACAAAGCCCACAGAAGGAATGAAACGCCATGATTTAATCATCTGTGATCCTGGATATTAACTGCTTAGGAAGAGTTTGTGCCTAGCACTCACTGTCTTTTTTTCAGGTGACTGAAATGTTGAGAATTACTCATAAATGATTGGCTAAAACAGATGGAGGAATTTAAATAAGTTCATTTTCTTTGCATGATAATAACAACAGGACTTTGGTTCCACCTACATTTTATTTTGCTTTTCTGCAATGTGGGAAAGAAGCTGGGATGTCACAATATTACGAAAATCCCACTGTACCTTGACATTCAGGAGTGTGTTATTCATCATCACCTTGGTGTTTTGCTTATGTTTCTGCCCACGTGCTTTCACAGATATGTTTGTCTTCCTTGGCAATACAAAGGGGTGGCTGCTTGGAGATTGGGTATTGGTCCAGACCCTTTGTGTACATACAGACTCCTGCAAATGAAAGGGCTACAAAAAAAATCCTGATGTATATTGATGTGGTCAAGTCAATTAGAAGGCTGGCACTAGTAATCGTGTGTTTTATTGTAGTTACTGCAGCACCATGTTATCCAAGTCATTGCATGAAAGTGCATGGTTGCCACTCTCCTGAATAGTGCAAATAAATGGCCAAAGGAAGGAGGAAGGGGCAGGATATGTGTGCTCAGCAATTGTCCCGATGGTGATGAGTGTCATATTAATGCTAGTATTGTGATTTTGAGTTTAAGTGGGCAAGAAGAAACACTAGGGAAAGACAATAAGGGTTTGGAGATGGTAAAGCTCAGAGGACAGATACTATGTGTGACAAGTGAAGGAATAAGGAATGGAGTGGGGAGAGGGTATTTGAGTGCACAGGAGCCCAGTGGGGTTAAAGGGGGGATGCATCAAAGCAATAGGAAGGTAGTGCATGTCTGCAGTGCCTGGGCTGTTCTACTTTGTTACCTTTGCAATTTCAGTTTCTGTTGTCTAGGGTCCCCAGCTGCTTCCTACCTGTGCTGTCTTCTCACACCTGTATGGCAGAGGAGAGGCACCACTCCAATCTCAATATTTTAGGATGAAGTCCCATTGCTTCAGCACTTGTTTGACCCTTCACTGAATTAATTCAATTTGCTAATCCCACAGAAAGTTGTTCATTTTAGCACATTCAAGTCAGTGTTGAATCAGCTTGGTGTAGTTTTTGGCAAACACTGGTGAAATGGGAGGAAGGGAGTATTCTGCATATTGTGGGGGAGGAGGCATGAATAGCATCATCTCCATCAGCATATGGTTACATGGTAAATTATCTGAAGGCATAATACATAACTTTGTCCTGAGAGTGCCTCCTCTGTACGAATCTAGATCTGGCATGTGCTGTAGTGAAACGGGTTTTATTTTATCTTACTGTTTCTGTAGCAACAGTTCATACAAAGCAGATAGGTTTAGATTTATATTTAAAGGAGTTCACAGTAGATTCCATTTGTTTCTATCACTGATTTTGTGAACAAACTTTTTTCTCCCCAGGTAATATATGTAGTCTCTCCTTTTATCTTGAGACTATCTTTGGAGACTTAGGAAACCCAGCAATGCAGTCCTTTTTAATGATTTTCCTGTGATTTCAGTCCCATGCTGGCACTATGTCACATCTGTCACAGAGACAGTTGGTATTATAATGAAAAGGTTGGCATGTCAGCTCAGAAATGCCAAGTACTGTGTCTGTTCACAAATGCACTGTGGCATGCTGGGACTGAGGTATCCCTGAACTGGCCCAGCTGCACGCCTTATCGCTTCTGGGTAGGCACATCCTCCTACAAGGTGCCTGCCTCTCTTTAAATTACCCAGGGTAATAGAAATCTAGGGGGCTGTCATATAAAGTGGTGGTTTGCTTTTCTCGGAAGTTTAAAGGCAAGATAGCTGAGTTAATCTTTCTTGTAAAGGCTCTACTTCAGCCATCCAAAGACAGATAAGAATGTGTCTGCTAAGCCAGAGGAACAGTGCGCCAAAACAAGTGTTCTGGAAATTCAGCTACATTTGGGTGGGTAAAACTTGGAATGATATGTCAGTTCCTCTTTTGGAGCTTAAGTTTTTTTTTAGTTTTTTTATTCAATCTGCCTTCCAGTATAATAATTTTTAAAAGAAAATATCTGTTAGAAATATTGTTCAAGACTTTCTTAAAACTTGTATTTTATGCTTTCCATCTCAACAGCTAGGGCAAAGGTTGAAGATCACAATTCCAGAACTAATGATACATCTTTCTGTCCAGTTATTTAATGGTATTAGTGTTTTTAAAAATAATGTTTTCCAATGGAAATAATTATATTATCCCTCATATGTCATCAATAAGCTTTAGTTTAATTCAAGCATGTTTCTTCCAAATGTAATTCCATTTCTTATGGCTAGACTGAGAAATTGATAATTTTCCGAAATCTTTTCCCTCTCCTGTGGGAGTAAGGTGCAGCTTATTTCAGACCAGAAGTGGACCTGGAAAGCTTACCAAGAATTTGAGAGACATATGCTGGGCTTCTGTCCTTAATACAGACGATTTCCAAGACTGCTCTTATTTCCCTAACCCATCCAACCGTTTCTCCATGTCCTTGTTGTCTGAGTCACCAGAGACTTTTGTCAGTTAGATACTTTTCTACTACTTCAGCAAAATGTTATTTTAATATGACTTAGAAAAATAAGTAAGCAAATATAAAGCAGAGAAAGGAATTAGTCATTGGAAAAGCAGGGAGCCAAGTTGTTCCTGAGTTTGCTTAAAGAATTAGATCATATGTCTTCTTGTGTGGATGCACAGAAAGTGATTCAGTATTTAAAGCTGTCTCAAGAGACTCAACTGATGCTCTACAAGTATCCTCATCCCACTCTCACTTAAGTAAGCCAGCTCAGCCTTATCTCAGATGTGCTGATGGTTGGCAGAAGAAACAGTCAAGGTACTTCTCTTCCATGGCAATGATGTGAATAGTAACATAGAGAATGCATTAGATTGCAAAACCCCCTTCCCTATAGGCAGATGCCAGCAGCACTTAAGATACTCCAGTTATTTTTCCATTTCTAAATTGGGTGTGAATCGGAGAGGGAAGGTTGCCTTATGTTTTGCTGATGAGTAGTAGTTTGATTGGAATGATTGTGAATGTCCCCCTCACTGCAGGGTGAAGTATATTTCCTGGTATGACTGATCAATCCCATAGGTGTTTTTTGTTTATTTTTCCTTCAGTTGTTAGCTACCATCATACTGGGGCTTTTAATGACATGATAAATTCCAGATGCATGTTTCTAATCCTCTCCTTGCCAGGCTTCATGGCATGTTTATAAAACAGCAGGAATGTTTTTGAGTATGAGCGGTAGGTGTGTGTCCACAGCAATAGCTGTGCCATGGCTGGTGCTACTGGGTCAGTGAAGGACTCACCCGTAGGGAGGGGCACCCATTATCCCCTGCCCTCCGAGCTCACCATGGTGTTTCTGTTTGGTTTTTTTAACACATTTAGCTGCCTACCTGTCCAGGCTGTAAGGTGTGCACTTGGTTATGAGAATGTTGAGGGAGACACTGTGGAAAGTCATGCTGAAGCTGGGGTAAATGACATCTCCCACTCCCTGGTTTGTCCACAGATCACTTCCACTGCCAGTGTAGTGGTGGAAGCTCTTCTTGCTGGACTTGGTGTCCCTTCCAACTACTAGTTGTAGGTGAGGTTTGGCTTTTCTAACATCACACCTATTTGTATATGTGATGATTTCTAAATGCCTCCTTGGTAGCTTGTGTCATCTTCTACCTCCTAAATACTGACTTTTTGCATCTGAGTTCTGCCCTGGGTTTCTTGTCTTAGGTAGGTCTTGACTTCTCAAAGGTATGCTACTAGGTGAAAGACCTCCAGAAAGAAACATGAGCATTTTCTCTGAAAGGAAGTGTTAACCATTGCTGTTGGTAATTATGTGAAGAACAAAACAGAGAGGACTGGCATCTCTTGTTATCCTCTAATTCTTACCCAAAGCAGGACCTGAATTAATGCTGAAAGCAGTGGAAGTGCTATATTTTTAGGCTGGTATGTTTCGGCAAGAGAAACCAGTTTACTGCAGACAGCAGAGAGCTGCACATGTACACATTTG